GCAACAGAAGTAGACCTGGACTGTAAACAAAAGCAGGGGCTCTGTGGTTACCACAGAGATGACTGAAACCTTTCGCTGAGGCATGAATTGAAAACATCCAGAGACTGTTTAATTTCTGTCGTGCACCCAAACAGAAATTAGTCTTTATAGAGTCGTTGAGGTCACCTGTGAGTCACTGACCCACCCAGCCATCATGTGGGTCAGTAGGGTTGGCTGCGTCCAGATGTGAATGGGTGTTAAGCTGTTTAGGGAGGGAACTAAAGACTGCATTGTAGTGTGGTGTCGTAGGCCACTTCCTCTGTTTAACGATGGTCACCACAGAGGAAGTGGCATACGACACCACTTATCACCCACCTACAACTCCCTCCCCAAACAGCTTAACACCCATTCACACCTGAACTCATCCAACCCTAACAAACCACATCATGGCCAGGTGGGTCAACAACTCGCATGTGACCCTAACAACACTGGAACTCAGAACTCAGCATGTGACCTCAACGACTTTGCAAGGGTTCACACCCACACAGGGTTTAAAAGCTTGCAACTTCCCACCAGTCAGAACTCAAAGCTCAAGCAAGCCCAGTTGCCTACTATATAGCACTTTGAACCATACAGGCCAGAGTTTCATGAATCTTGGTGGAAGGATATAGGTCAAGGAAGAACCCATTAAATGTTTGAGCAGATTGGAATCATAGCGTGAACACATATTGTTTGTTACTTTAGTCAACATTGTGAAAAAGGGCATTTAGCCTAAGCAGAGGTCTGCGCTCTCTGAGTGCCCTTCTGTAGTGTTACTCATTGATTTGTATCCTCATTAAAACCAATATCTTTACTAAACGTTGTAATATGTTTAGTCTTTCATTCTGCACTTCTTCCCACCAAATGCAGATCACCAAACCAAACTGTTTTTGCTTGTGCTGTCACCAGAGGTGTGCAGTGGCTTCTTTCTTTGCTGTTAATGGCACAAGGGATTTAAAATGAAAGAGGGGACATCCAGCAGGGGTAGCTGTCCGGAAGGTGAATACTTTGATGCTGTTGTTTTGTTCTTGTGGTTGCCACATTCAGCATGCTGTTTTCTGTAACCACACGTACAACATTAATGCCCAATAGATGTCAAAAAAACCCAAATGCAAATCCATCCACTACTCATGTAAATCAATAGAAGTATAATTTCATGTGCAGGGATTTAAGACATTGGTCTAAGCGAGGCCAAAGACTGCCCAGAGCAAATTTTCTCCTGTTCATTTTTGGCCACAGTGTGTGTTTACACAATGGGATGTCTCTCGCTGCGGCTTTTACTGCACTTCAGCTGTGTAACCTTGGCGGCGGCAACATGCACCCCAGACTCAGCTGTGAATCAAGCTATTGGCTCTCCTCAGTTAATACTGTGAAGGAGTGTATCACAAATTCTAATGGGCCTCAAGTGCTATTGAAATGGGTAAATGTGAGGATCTATTCTGCAGGCTTTGGGGCCGAATAGCTAAAAAGGCCATGTTTATTTTCTTCTCAGTGTACTTGTACTATTCTCCAACCGTAGTGCATTGTCTATTGATTTTCTCCAGCCCCCTCTATCAGTCAGGCTTTAATAAGACAACACATGTCGCCTTTAAAAGAAACGTATTAGAATGTTAATGGATCACTCCACAGACCTGTTTGCCTCTCCGCGTACACGATCGCATTTTTGTGTATGTGTGAGCCACCACATTTTCATTAAAGCAGAAGAAGACAACATTCATCTTGATGGTTTTAGGGAGTAGAGGGGGAGGGAAACAAGGAGAATGTAACACTAGAGGGATGAAGGGATAAGGATGGAGAGAGTAGTAGAAAGTGAGGAAGAAACCTCCTTGTGCAAAGTGGATTCATCTTCTGTCTTATTGCTCCTGCAGGGACCAATTTATCTTCATTTAGGTTTTTGGCACCAACCCCAACCCAGACCAGCCGCCTCAAGAAAGCACATGAGCTCAACGTGGCCCATGTGGCCTGCATCTATGGTTTGACCAGTACTGCTTTTAATGGCTGATTATGTTGTTTAAAGCTTCTGTCAGTCTATAAAATGATATCTTTACGTTCAATGACTGAATAACATAGGAAGAAATACTAAGACCTTGTTGGACTGCTTGCCCAAGTCGTTTTTTTGGCATATTCAAATTGTGTTCAGATTTAATTTCTACATAACCCCTAAAGGTGAATTTTTACTTTCCTTTTTGAACAAGATAATTATCTTGTGCAAACAAGTTAATTCTGCTCTACGCCCACGTTTTTATTTTGTGGGAACAAGTTAATTATCTTGTGAAAATAACTTATTTATATTGTGCACTCAAAAGGGGCTCCCTAGATTTTTAGTTTTAGATTTTTATTTTTTTTGGTTTGAAATGCAATTCCAATCCGATTTCTACAGATGCTTCGCAGTCTTGAAGCTCAAATTGGACTGGACTGCAGTACTGACCTTCGCAAAGTGTACCAGTCTGCTACGTTGCTGAGTTCTCTGGTGTGACAGAGGAGCTTGCTCAAGACTTGACAGCATGAGAGTGAAATGATGGACCTCCATTTCTCATGGATCCGCGTGGGAAAGCTACATAGTCACTGACACCAGGTTGTCACCACAGCAACCCTTGCAGATAGGTGGATATGATATCTGTACACACAAATTCGATCTGATCACTTACAAATAAAGATAGGATTTGAGTAACAGATTCGATTTGCCCGCAGTCCGAATGTAGCCTTGGTGTTGTCTTCAAAACTGTATTTGTAAACAGGTGAACAAAGCCTCATTAATTCTGTTATGGGACACATAATCCCTCACAACCTGCTTAAATGATATTAGCTGGCAGCCTCGGTCCTGTGTGTAATGTGGGTTATTACTTTTCATTAACACACAACAACTTCATAGATACTTGGAAGCCTTTTTTGTTGGTTTTATTAATGCAGTTATAATAATAAGCATATGATAATGTATTATGGTATGAATGGCTGTCTGTCTCTATGTGTCAGCCCTGTGATAGTCTGGTGACCTGTCCAGGGTGTACCCCGCCTCTCACCCAGTGTCACCTGGGATAGGCTCCAGCCCCCCCATGACCCCTAACAGGATAAGCAGTTATGGAAAAGAAATAAATGAATAAGAACATTCACCAGTAATACTTCAAAACTGTCATTTCTAAAACAATATTTGGGCGCTCAGATTGTGACCCAGGATTTAAGACCCTCTTGGTTTACTTTACACCGTCTCTTTAACTTTTTTCTACATAACAGTTGCCTATCTCACGCTCGTTTTAGTTCTGTGTCAATATTTATGCGAATTTGGGGACTCACAGCCGCCCAAAAATTAGAAAATGAATCTAAAAAATATTTAATTATCAGTGACCAAAAATAAACAAAAGAGGGTGGCATGAACATTCAGTCTTTTCCTGGTTCGAACCCAGGGTAGGGAAGACCTTCTGTGCAGAGTTTGCAAGTTAATTGGTGACTCTAAAATGGCCGTAGCCATAGGTGTGAATGTGAGCGTGAATAGTTGTTTGTCTCTATGTGTCAGCCCTGTGACAGTCTGGCTACCTGTCCAGGGTGTACCCTGCCTTTTGCCCAATGTCAGCTGGGATAGGCTCCAGCCCCCCCGTGACCCCCAACGGGACAGGCGGTTACGGAAAATGAATGAATGAACATTTAAAGATTGTTTAACAATATCAAAATTACTTTTTGTATTTTTAAAAATTCCTCCCACTGGATGAATTCTTCATTCTCTCATGTCTCGTGCTTATAAATTAATGTGTCACTTCCATTCAAGATTTGTAATGTGTGTTTAATTGTTGATCAAATACACAGAAAACTCATGAAAAGATAAAGATATGCAAGTAGCATTAAATAGTACTTGCTTTTAACCCCTATTTTTATCTGATTTAAGCCACAAGCTGTCACATTTTTTGTATCTTAACTATCAGATATCTCAGTGTTTTCACTTCAGTTTGATGCTGCATGTTCCATAATACATTTTGTAGGTGTTTACCTCCTTTAGGAGTTTGAGGCTGCTGCCCTCTCTGTGTCTTTATTGAGCTTTAGCTCAGACCACAACACCCTCTCCATTCAGCAGGGTATAAATTAACATTGATTTTAGATACGGTCTTACTGTAGCATCATGGCCTTGGTGGCCAAATAACTAACAATAACCTTCACAGTATGAGTGGGTGGAGAGGCGGCGAGGGCAACAAATAAAGACAGAGGAAGAGAGAGGAGGAGAGCTGCATTATTCTGCTCTTCATTACATATAATTGCTGATTAAAGCAAAATCTTTTGTCGCCTCGTTTTCTATTTGCAGATTTCCGGCCCAGATGTTTTGTCGAAATAACACAAGAAACATTTATTATCTCTGGCACTTTCGCTGTTTAACCTGTTGATTTAACCCTGTAGTGAAGATGCCATGTTGAGTAATACTCAGCAATTACATTACATTGTACCAAGAATTCTCCCTCTCCTTCTCCCTCTCCTCCCCTCCTCTCCCTGTCTACCATATGTAACTTCCAAAATCACATGCTGCATGATGCTGGCTCACCGTATGGAGCCAAACAGTCAGATGCTTGTTAATTGTTTTGCTGCTAGAAAAGAAACGAAAGGGGTGGTGGAGTGGAGAGAGGAGGCTTGAGAGGGGGAGGGAGACGGATGTCAGAAATCAGAGGGACCCCTGCTGCCATGTCTGGATGCAGCACTGGCTGCGCAGTGAGAAGAGAAGGAGAGAGACAGGCAGAGTTGTGTCTGTTTGGCTGTGTTGCGCTGTGCAGTCTGGTCTAGGTGCCCTACTGACAGCCCAAAGATTGATGGATAGACCTGTGTATCGCACACAACATCAATTCTGTGCTGCTTTCTCTTTCATTCTGAGTCTCACTCCCTCATCACTCCTCCCTTCCCCTCTCTTCTCCTGCTCTCCCCCTCCCTCCCCCTCCCTCCCTCTCTCCCTCCCTCCCTCCCCGCCGCTGCTCCAGGTCCCTCGCCGGTCCCTCTCTTCTGTATTAGTTTCCAAAAGGCATCTTTAATGCTGCCAGAGAACGCGCTGTGAGGCAGCAAGAAAGCGAGGCGAGCGGATTGCTATCTTTGTGACAGCTTTTCCGCTTGGCAGGCTGCGTGTGAGCCGGGGAACTGGACTGGACTGTGGTGTTTCGTGGAGGAGGTGGGAGAGGAGGTGGGAGAGGGAGAACTGAGGGGCAAGCTGGACAGATGGAGGACGGCACCCAACAACTGGGACACTGCATGGTTGACATGAAGGAGCTGAGTGCCAACCCTGAAGGACTGACCGCTGCCGGTGAGCTCACTGCACTGTGTTGTCTGTCCGTCTGTCCCTTAATCTGTCTCCTCTAGCTCTCTCCTGTGTCCTTCCTCACACAGTAAAACTCTGAAACATCTTGTTTTCTATTAAATTGATTCTGTCTCCTGCATAGTATCCCACTGTTTTTATAAATACATGTCCCAATGATGTCTAGTTTTTGCATATTTTCCCTCTGTTTGTGTTTGCAGTGGTTCTGTCTCTCTAAGACACACGCAGAGAGAGAAGGAGTGTGTGTGTTGGGGAGAGAGAAAGAGAGGGTGGAGGTACCAGTAAGAGTGAGAAAGGGAAACAGTATTAAATGTACACTGATCAATAATCACTGAATGAGTGAATTCGGTGGGGTGCTTTGGGGTCATGTTGTTGCAGTTATTACAAAAGAACATTAATTATACATTCCATTAGCATAAAGTGTTCACAGGTGAGTCCTGAAAATTACTAAATTAATTATTTAATTTTTAAATTCGAAATGAGTACACTGTGTCTCACCAGCCAGTTGATTCTGGAGTGCTAATGATTATTTGGAGTGATGTCATGTTTATAAGTTAATGGTCAAGTGTCTCTTCAAATTATTCCAGAGAATTTATTCTAAAACTTAGTGGCTGCCTTTTCGACAGGTTTCCGATGAGTGTTAGGCTCTTGCAGCGTGGTTGAATTAAAATCGCAAATTGTCTCACAATGTGGTCAGTTCTGTCAGAGGAGCCTGCCTTACCTAATTTTGGGCAACACTGAATTTAATTTAGTGGCTCTGCAGAGTTTGAAGTTTGAAAAACACGGACGTCGCAACAAATTCTCACATCTGTTTGAGTGCCTGTGTGTGCATCCATGTTTCTGTCTGTGTGTGTGCTTTGCTTTTTTTTTTTACTGCAGTCATATTCCATACAGCCTGAATGTGTTGTCACTAATGAGCACTGGCAGAGGCAAACTAGATGTCTCAGTGCCCATCACAACAGGAGAATGCTAAAGAGATTAGCCATATCAGTGATGCCACAAAGCCTGCTCTCCAAGTTTAATACCTTTGCTCACCAAAAAGGACAGACACTGCATGAAGCGCTGCTAAGCATTTGCATTGGCATGCAAGCTCAACACCATCATCTTCCCCATGGGGATAAGTAAATGGAGGCGTACAAAGAGGAATGAAAGCGCAATTCATGATGCCTTGTCTCCTTTGCCTCGAACCACACAGATACACGCTGAACCAGCTTAAATGCACAATTACACACATGCTTACATGCAAACACACACACACACAAGGGAATATCTAAACACGCATACACCAGCACATCCTCGCATGCACAGATGTAAGCATGCATGCACAGTCACACATGTGCTCATGCTTTTACAGTTATGACCTAATTGCGAACCCTAGATATGCGCTGCTATAAAATCACACAGTCACAGTTTGGCGATGACATCTGACAGGTGTGGGAGTGCTACAGTAATGACAAACACCTCACTGTACCTCTGTTGTGTTTTCCCCAGCATCCTGGGAGACAAAAGGGAAGAGCAAAGCACATAATTACCATGTTTGGCACGAAAGACAAGTTGACAACCCCGCATTATCAGTCGCAAGGTGAAATAGTTTATCTCCTCCTTCTTGACAGGAGAGAACAGTGGGTGCTGCTCAGTACTTATTAAGGTGGGACTGAGTTGGCATTTTACAAACTCCTCACCATAAGGGGTAAAATTATGTGATTTTATCTATTAAGTATTCATAACAGAATTGGTATAGGTGCATGTGGGTGTTCAATGAAAGCTGCAGCGTAATTGATGGATTTTTATCGCACAATGCTTGACATCACAAGACTGTTGTGGAGCAGAACGTATTCCCTCTGTGCCCTCGTTAACCCTCCACACTCCATCTCCCATCGATGCGACAGTCAAGACCTCCTCAGCACACCCAACTGATTCACAACACTTCATTAAACGCTGGCAACAAAACCATCTGTCCCCTCTCAATCTCCCAGGGCAGTAATGTGACGATAACTCACTCTCCCATTCAGCACCACTTGTCCTAATAGGATGCCTGTTTGTGCAAACATCAATCGTGTTAGCGGTATGTTAGCCAGGCTGATGAGTGAATCATCAGAAAGGATGTGCAGGTGTTGTTCAGGCAATTTAAACTACAGAATAGAGAAGAAAGTAAGATAGGACGAAAGGAATTGGAAGAAAGAGTGCACTTAGTATGCTTGTGATGTCGACTTGGTGGTGGTGTTTGTGGCGGAATGGTTTATTGAGAGACGGCCAGTTATATCCCTAAAATATAAAATCCCATGGTGAGCCAGCCACCAAAGTGAATTATTAATATCGTCTCAAAATCCAAAGTAAATGATATTCAAAATATAAACAGGATTTGTTCTTAGGCACAGGCTCTTATATGTAATATCTATTCATGAAGAGGATAAGCAGGAGTGATTAAGAATGTGTGCTTTACCCACTGTGAGAGGGTTTATCAGAGCTCTTTTTGGAAATTGCTTGATTTTCTTAGTTGAGCTGGAAGCACATGACGGAGACCGGAGCAGCGACGGGCAGCATTTTGGAGCTTTTCCACAATTATTTTTTGTGGAGTCAGGAATAAGGGAGCAGTCCCATGTGAGATCTGTGCGCTCACTCCCCCACATTTCCTACTAACTAGCGCTTGGTTATCACACTGTGCAGTGGGTGAGGAAGCAGGGCAATGAGAAGGGAAGAGGGTTAAATGATCATCTGTAAGACGGACAACTTAAGTCCCTGTACATTAATTAACTTTGTCATTCCAGAGGAATCACCTAGTCTGCTCACATCCTAATAAATTACCCTCTCCTCTCCCTTCAGCGTGCCTTTTTCCCTACTGATACCACCCGCAGACGGGGGGGTGATAGATTGGAGGTACAGTGGGGCTGTGCTGTTATTTCTAGAGCCAGATGAAACTGCAGTATAGCGGGCGGGCACACCTCATTTGCTTTGGGCCCCTCTGGGAGTTACATCTGCATGTGCCGCCTGCCTGCCTGCCTGCCTGCCGCCTTGCTGAGCTTATTACCATATTCATAATGCCAGCGGATATCGATTTTAAATACCACACCTGTTCCACTTTTCTCCTCATACTTATCCACGCATTGGAGCAGGATCACCTGTGAGCTCCGGCGTAAAGGAGATGTGATTGAGATGGACAGTACAGGTGGTTGACCTTTCCCCGTGTAATGGCTAATCATTGTAATTAGACTTTGTGTATTTTTTTTTTGGTCAGCTTGGTTCTCACCAAGAGGTTAATGACATGCGGTGTGTTCAGTGCTCAAAGACAAGGACGGTGTCACAGTGTACATAACAGGTGTTCTGTCCTCAGGTTGTGTGCGCATAATTTGTCCATGATTTTAATAACTGTGGATACGGAGTCACTGTGATCATGTGAACAACACTCACCAGAGCTGCGCTATTAAATGTCATGTATTTGTCCTCAAAGATGGAGCATAACCTGTGTTGCCTGTCTTATCATCAAAGCATCTGGCATGATCCTTCTATAAATACTTGACACACTCACAGGCTGCGCTCTGAAATTCAGACATCTTTTAACTCCAGTCCTCCCCCTGCTTCACTATCAAGCATATCTAGTTGCTTTCCCATGCGTGTATGTCTCATGATCAGTAGCCCCCAACCCATATCAGACCCAGACTTGGCTTTACGTCTTATCTGTATTCAATTAGTTCTGCAATGACAGATATTTTCCACCGCTTTCTACCGCTTTAGATAAGTTGGTGTCTTGCGCAGATGGAGTCCTCCAAAGTAACTGGGCTGCTCAAGTGACAGTCCCCTATGATGGCACCAGAGACAAGACCCAACAGCTGGCACCGTCTCAGCCCACCTAGCTAAAGGGCTTTCTGTTGCCACCACACAACATGTCATCCAGGCTTATTAAAGTTTCATCAGCACTCACAAGGAAGCCTTAGTGGTGACAACATGAAGAGACATGACCCCCGAGGAAAGGGATGATGATGATGATGATGATAGTAATGTGAAAACCAGATAGCAACACAGAAAGTATATTTACATGCATAATTACCCTGTTTGTGTAACTCCCTGTGTGTGTGTGTGTGTGTGTGTGTGTGTGTGTGTGTGTCCCAACGTACCCTCGTACTTCAACTACATGTGCATTTGATTAATTTGCGGGTTGCTGTAGTTGTATGCATAACAGATATTGCACTAAGTTTGCATAAGCCTGTTCATTCAAATGTAGCCTGTCCTGACAGCAGCTGACGAGCTAAATTCTCTGACACTTGAGCAAACACGTGGCAAATTGAGATTTTATTTAAAATTTTTGGCAACATATTCGCTGAATTTAGATATGCACTGTAAGTTCCATGTGTTTTTTGTCAAGTTGCCAGGCATTTCTTCAGCCTCAGTAGGCAAGTCACTCTCAAGAGGGCACAAGTAATGCTAATGATCCCCAGACTTTTGTAGGCTTGTTATTAAATAGCAGTGCCCACATTGTTTGTTCTACATGACTTTAAATTAGACATACCAGAGAGTACATGTAAAAGAAGAAAAGAACCTGTACTGGTATTCATACTGTTGTAGTCAGAAACAACTTCTGGATACTGCTGAAAAAGAACCGCAACTTTTTGAAGAGATGATTTCATTTAAACACTCTATTTCTCAATGTGAGCAAGGCAAAACTCATAAAAATCATTAAACTAATTTATAAAGCAACTTGTGATAAATGATGTTGAAACTGAAAGAGTGGAATTAAATTTTTGAGAGTGATAATAGGTAGTTAACACATGATTTCCTGCGTAAATTAAGTAAAAATTCAGTCTTTAATTCTATTAAAATACTGTAGTATGTCTTAAATCAATCTTCATTACACAGTTTATATTGTTTCCTGATAAGTTCATGAATCTCTTACTGTGATGAAGTATAGAGAAACATAAACTGTCTCTCAAATTAAATTCTTTTCAACCCTTGCATTTGAATTTACTATATAATATTCCACCCTAAACATGTTTCATAGCATTGCTGTGATCTTGAACAGCTCCACATTTATCCCCCCAAGATGGAAACAACAGCACAGAGACATGCAGCAAATCTGTGATGTTGTATAGAAGCATCTTTGAACTTTTACTGACAGTTAAAGGAAACCAACTTTCTCGATACCGTGGCATTACTCAAGGGAATTGTCAGTTATAAGGGTGGATTATCTGGGTCTTTTCTATTAGCATTCCTGTGCTTCAGCAGGAGGCTCCTATAGATATGAAAGTTTTTTCTTCTTTTGAGCGCATCTTCCTTTCTCTGTCACGAGATCACAGGAAAACAACTGTTTAACAACTGCTAATTCCACAGATGATTTGACTGCTTTATTTGCTCCACCTCAGGTTTCCTCAGCATTTGCTCTGATCATTTTTTTTCTTGGCAGGTGTTCCTTCTCTTTACAGAGGGCCAGTGGTTGGTGGTGTTACGTCTAGGATAGGCAGGTTTTATGTCTTTCCAGCATGCAGTCTTGTCTTGCACCGTTTCTTACTTTAAGATTGCATCATTTTGTTGTGTGATTGTTGTTTAGTCGGATCAAAGTAGACTTGTCCTCTGCGAAGACCTTGAAGTGTGATGAAAGGCTGTAGAAATAAACTGACCCAACTTGACATAGAAGCTGCCAAGAAAGCGCAGTGACTGAAGTAATTATAAAACACAAGTAAATCATTTTTAGTGACGGATCCTCATTATATAAAATGACTATTACCGAAAGTTGTGTGGCTCCCATACATCAGTAAGCATCGAGTATCCATGGCCCATTAGTGGGGTTGATGAGCCTTAGAGAGGCCAATTGTGTCCAAGCACCCCAGGAAGTGGAGAGCGGCATTAAGTGGTTTAGGGCCCCTCTACGTGTTGCACCATCGTGCAGGTGTTTCATCTGTTTGGTTGTGTGTCGGACTGGGAGAGTGATGAATGAGAGACAGTGTTGGCGCCAGATGATACAAGCAGTCAGTCCTTTACTCATCATTATGGCACAAACCCTCAAGGACAATGGATACCTAGATTCTCTTGTTTTGACACTTGCGAAGAATGCAGTGTGTTTGCATAATCTAAAATGAACAGTTACACTTATCACTGTGGCATTTTGGGATCCTGTCATGCTCCTGGCGTGCTTGAATACAGTCTCTAAAGATTTGTTTTTGTGCTGATTGAAATAGTTTCTGTCTCCAGTGGTGCCACATTGGAGGAAAATGGATCAGATTTCAGCCCTTTTGTCTACTTTATATTCTGTGTCTATGGGCGATGTGGTTATCCCTTTTAATTTGAAGTAGAGGAATTCTTCTTCAGTACTGAAAAAATTTGTGGAAAAAGTTGCTTGTATGAAAAATTATTTGCAGCTATTTTAATAAGAAGAAAGGAAAACATGCACATTGACAGATAATTGCTAGCAAATTGTGAAAACTGGCTGCCTTTTTTTTTTTTGTCCTTCTAAATTTAATGTTTTGGGGTGTCAGACTGGTCATACTGGAAAAAACATGTTAATTGAGGGTGACAGCGTGGGCTCTGGGAAACTGTCATTGTTTTCTGACATCTTTAGACCAGAATATTAATTGATTCATCATAAAAGTAACTGTCAGGTTAATCCGTTTGTAAATTAGTCAGTGGTAAACCCACACATGTTAAAGGTTCTGTAAGTGATAATCTGAGTGTTGATATGGCAGGAAACCAGTCTTTGAAAAGATACAGTGGAGTAATGCCGTCCTGAGCAAAGAGTAAAGCCATGCTACTTCTGTGTGTGTTGTCACCTGAGCTTCTCTTGGGTTTGGTGTGGTAAACCGGTCTAGCTGTGCTCATCATTTGTACTGTGCTCATATGGTGGTTACCGCTAATATTGGGACAACGTCGTCACAGAAGCATAGTGCCCACCCTCCGGTTAACCCTGGTTAACACCTTTAGCTCCATTAGCACTGTTGCCGTTGTTTAACGCTGTTTATGGAATTAGCACTTTAGCTGCTAGCTGCCAGCTCAGCCACCTCCATGTTGTCCAGACAACTCATTTACTCTGAATTTCACATAAAGCCCCTTTAAACCTAAGTAGAGTCAAACTGCAATAGTCAGTGCTCTGATTCACTTACAGTGTGTTATTTACTTGTTTCTTCCATTGTTCTAATGTTTACTTTTATATCCCTCTCAATCTTCCTCTCTCTCTCTCTCTCTCTCTCTCTCTCTCTCTCTCTGTCTCTGTCTCTCTCAGGTGTTATTCTAACACCCAAGCTGCCTCAGGTGGAGTTCAGCCTTGGTAAGTCCCTGTGTTTACTCTGTGATTCAAGGGTCAATTTGGGGATATTCCACTCCCTCCTGACATCCTTGTAAGCACATTAAAGTAACATGGACTCGCTTGCATGGTTGCACACTTTCAATAATGTCAGATCCCTCTTCCCTTGTCCAGAAACACAGCCAAGTTTCATGGCCTATCAGCCCCCGTGGCTAAAATAAATCCAAATGTAACTGTTGTAAACACACACAGCCAAACAGTCACATGCTGACAGTTACACTAATGCAGAAGTCAGTCAGAATTAGTGGCATATCTGCCGACATCCTTAATCTTTTCTCATTCTGACACATACACACGCCCCGAGTGCGGTTAGAAGGGACAACACAGAAAAAGGCAGAGAAAACATTACACAGAGTGGCGAAAGGGTCCTTTTGAACTTTTTTCATGGAGATGGCCTCATTCATTTTTTATGGGACTGAGATGCTGGAATTCTATTTCGAGACAATTCATTGTGGCTCAGGTCAAGTTTCCTAAAGTGAAAATCCAAACAGAAATATTATTCCTGTGGTCTCTGACTGAGGAGACTGACAGCATCAAAGACTGGCGTCTTGGCTCCCTTGTCTCTAACTTTTGAGGCAACTGCAACAAAGACTCCCCACTGTTGCGCTCACAATAAACAAAGAACAACTGAATACAGATATTCCAGAAATGTGGCGACAATTTCTGTTTCATCTCAGTGGTATTAGGAAAGATAATGAACCCACAAATGTATCCTCCCTGGTGTCACATGATGACCCCCAGGCCTGGGCAGTGCTCAGTGTACATCTTGTGACCATTTTTTTTTTTTTGACAGTTTTCGGTGTGCTTAAACCTCAGCTGCATGTTGATACCTCATGAACACTCCTGAAAGTCCCATTGCTATTACACAGAGGGCAAAATTACAGTGAGCCATAAAGACATGTAATCAGAGTTCATTTATATAGAGAGTGTGTGGGGCTCAATAGGAGAGTCATTATCGAGAAAATATACACACACTCACAAGTGCACGCAGCTGGGTGTGTATGTGCACACATCGTAGATACAGGCATACTAATAAATCCTGTAAAAAAAATCTAATAAAGCCTTTGTAATGCTTGCTTTGGTTTCTAAATGTTCAATTTATTCGAATTTCTACTCAAATGATATTGTAGGTTGAGGGTTTGCACTTGAATAGGAAAACAATTTGAATGTAAATTATCTGTCATGGTGGAAAATACAGCTGACAGCTGGCACAGAGAAATGCCATGTCCCTCTTTAATTGCCCCGGTTGAATGTGTGCTCATGTGTGCTCAATGTACAGTACATCTGTCAAACCCTTAATGACAGTGTTTAATTTCTATAATTTTTTATTATTAGATATGTGCATATTTTATTCCTAACGTTTATTGATCTCGATAAAGTAAAGTTGAATATGGTTTAAGCTCTGGAGGGAGGTCACATGTTTAAATACTTGACATGTTTAAATGTGTAATGGATTCTTTTCAAGGAAAAATGAAATGGCGCTAAAGTCATTAATAAGAATAGTAACCAAGCATTCATCCGACAGTCATTCACAATCCACAAACTTCTATTAGGGCTCAGCAGCTATTAGCAGCTACCTCCTGGTAGCAGCCGTCGATTTAGAGCAAGGCAAGTCAAATTTAAAAAAGAATTTCCCTGCTGGAGAGAGGGTCTTTTCACAAAGCTAGGCTGTCATTGCAGTAGAAAGACACAATTACTTTTGAAATTGGTGCTTGATGACCAGAGGAAACAGAAGAAAAAGGGCTGCAGCATTCAGTTCTGCTCAAGATGTAAAAAACCTTTAACCACCAGAATGCACTGCGCCATACTGGACCGATATATGCTCCCGCTTGTGGGTGAAGTAATGTGTGTCTTCCATCCGAATAACAATATGGCGGCTGGCTGGTAACAAAGATTTCGTATTATGTTTAAATGGAAGGCTAAAATATGTTTTTGAAAACATTTTAGTTGCGATAAATTGGCAATGTAGCAACAGAATCTTCGTTTATAGTTGATCAGTACTGCCTAGTGCTGCTGTTTGATCTCAGTATTTTCAGCCTCTGTTTTTCACAATACAGGAAACAGTATGGAGTTCACTTCCTGTTCACAAACTTGTACAATTCAGTTAAACAGTGCACTAAAATATGTTTCTGACATTATTTTAGGTGATTTTTTTGTGTCATAATGTGTAAGTACAATCTGTAGTTTCGAGCGATAGCCACAGAGCCAGTGAAAATTTCGCATCATCCACCGGATTTGAGCTGGGAAATGAAAAGGGAGATTAAGGTGCTGGTAAGATGGAAGGAAATACTACACACAAGGGGTGTAAATCACAAGTTTCATCACATGATATTATATTGATTATTTGGAAATGGTACAATATTTTCCGATATTTCAAAGTCTGCCACAATATGATTTCGATTTGCAATCGATATTAGGCGATATTGAATGCCCATTTAACACAGTTTGTCACAGAAGGCGCTGCCACCCCTTTCTTTTTTACTTTTGGCCATAAAAGATAAAAACAACACATAAATAATAAGAACAGTTAAGTTAACTTTAAACTGACTCCACTAACACAAATAAAACAGCAAATGGGAAAAGTTAACCTTCAGGGCTTTCTGTCAGAGAGACCGTCCTGGAAGAAATCTTTTTATTTTAACCCAACCATCATCTTTTTCATAAAACTTCAGGAATGTCTTGCTTAAAGCCCTGAGGACAAACTTCTCTAAACAGCCATAAAACACAGATTAAAACAAGATCATTCAACAAGACAAACATTCAACTCAGAAATAACTGTCAAGGTTCATGGAAAAATTATTGTTTTTTGCTAGTCACCCATTATTAGCTTAAGCATATTTACATCGCATAAATTAGCCTAGCGCTTAGCAGACTTTTTTCCCTCTTCTCATAGCTTAACAGATTACATTTAAGTTATTATTTTTCTCATTCACCGCTGGTTTAAGTCACTGCATCTCCCGTCAGAACAGCACGGTTTAATTTCAGCCTGCATGCACATTTTTTCTAGCCAAGTGAGACGCTCGTCCAGGCAAGGTACGTGGTGTTTTATCTCATAACGTCATTGTCTACATACACCATGTGCTCTGATGGTTGTTCTATATTTTCTCCAAAATCCAAAATATTGCCACACTGCTGCTATTCCTGAGTACATAATGTTATCCTCATTGTCTTTTTCTTGGCTGTTTGCCATCTGCCTGCCGCTTTTTGACGGTGACACCGATTGTCAAAATAAAAGCCTATGCTAAAGATGACGATATGGATTGATGTTTTCCCTTTGCATTAGGGCCGTAACGGTACATGTATTTGTGTCGAACTGTTCGGTACGTGACTTTCGGTTCGGCACGACCATGTACTGAATTATTGGGCGCAGGATATTATTTTATTTTATTTTGTTTTATTTTAATTCCGTTTTTGCGAGCCGAACCATTTAAAATATCTAGTTCCCCGACGGACATAATTGAGTGACGGACCGAGTCTGACTGTAAATCTCCACTTTCACTTTGTGAAGCGCATTCTTGCATTTTGACAGCAGTCGGGTATGTACTTGGAAACATGTCTAACATGCTAATGCATCTAAAGCGACACCACTAAAGAAATAATCAACGCCATTGGAGTTGAGTAAAATTGTTTAAGCTGCACTTTAGATATAAGCATGTTTTGTTTACTGCACTTTAACAAAGTGGGAAAGCTAAGTAAGTTCCTAGTAAAACTGAATCTGAGCAGGCTTTAAAGCTGACCAGCTGCACTATACTTTTTATTTTAATTGAGTAAAACTGTTAAAGCAGAAATGTATATTTATATTTTTCATTCAAAAAATGTGTTAAAAAAACAGCAGGATTTTATTTTTCACTTTTATATTTCTATTTTCATTCAAACAATGTGAAAAAGCAGGATTTTATATATATTTGTTTCATTCAAAAGTTGTGTAAAAAGAGTTAACTGCTGTGGTGGTATGTTTTAATAAGGTTACCAATAAGTAAAAGATATTTAATAGTTGTCTATTTTTTTCATTACTGTACCGAAAAAAAACGAACCGTGACTTGTGTACCGAGGTACGTACCGAACCGAGATTTTTGTGTACCGTTACACCCCTACTTTGCATCATTAAATCAATAAGTCGATCTAGATGGATGGATCGTCACACCCCTAATAGACACATTGTGATGATACACAACTGGTTGGAAATCAGCAAACTATCTCATGAACACTGTTGGGAAGTAACGCGTTATTACTAACGCGTTACAGTAATGCCGTTAGTTTTGGCAGTAACTAATACTCTAACACGTTAGTTTTTAAATTCAGTAACTCAATTACTGTTACCAAATGGTGCCTCACAATCGGTGAGTCACTGTCGACCTACTGGCCTCACCACAGTGCTGTACATTAAGCGGTAGCGCTTCTGTAGATTTTTAGTCCCAGTAACGTTATATCCAGTGACGTGATATCCGTTTTTTATCCCGAGGAAGCTTTTGCTGTGGACAGACAATGTCTGCGGTGGGCGACAGACTCGACATCATCATGTAGCTCTACAAATGTTCTCTAGCTCATTTTCCATATTTATATCCAAGTACCGTAGTTGTAAAACGTTTAGCTGCCTGACAGCAAGTGACTCCACTGTAGAAGACGGTTGCATGTTTCCTATACCGTTTAATTGTTTTGTCAAGTTGTAGTCTAACAGTCCCTTGGTTAAACTCCATTCGCTGTCGCTTTTAGGCAATGTAGCTACGAGCCAATACAGTTATGAAATGTTTTGGTGCAGGGCTGAGTTTCCCAAAACATCAATGAACGTTGTCCTCTTTGTGGCTTAGAAAAACTACACTGCAAAACAGAAAAGCACCTAGCGTCCTCTAGTGTCCCCACTCAGTCATCTACAGCCAGGACATACTCAGAGTATAGATGACACTAGTGCGCGTGCCTCAAGGTCATGGCGTGATGGCGAGCCAAGACGAGAGTCCTAACGACCT